AGAGTCCTATTGGAAGAAGCAAAACAAGACATTGCAGACCATATGGAATCAACTTTGTGAGGTCTGGCCCTCAGCAGGTTTTGTATATGTTTGTGGTGACAGGTGGGCAGGTCAGGGAATCTAGCTAGTGAACCTCTGTCCCTCTGCCATCCAACATGTGAGACTCACCTCTGTGGCCACGGGACACCAGCACAGATGGGACACCAAACATCACATCTGCAATCAAATCCAGGAACAGGTCTTTCTTTTTGACAAGGTCATCTGTCCCTCCTAAATACTTCTCAGTGGCCGCTGGAATCAGATTCTCAGAAATTTTCTGAAATGGATCAGAAAGTGATTAACCTACCTGCTAAGTACTAAGGCATCTCTGAGTAACTGAGAAAGTTTCACTGATCCAGAACAAGCTGACTGATGTGCCAAATCCTCTTGCTGTTACCGGTGGAAGAGCAAAATAAACTCTTTAGATTCACTTGATTTTAATTGGTTTTAAGTCATTAATTGTGGAGGTCAGGCATATGAGCAACATATTATTATTGTCCCACTAGCTTTAGTAGAAGTGATTAAACCCATCTGACCCTTCTCGCTTCAGAACTGTTCTCCACTGAATGCTATCTCCAGCTGATACTGTAAAAAGGCTGTTTCTCTCTGTCTTCCCTGGTCATCTAGGAAAAGCATCTTTTTGCTATTCTGGGGAAAGACACATTTTGTACTCTAATAATTAACTTCAAAATAAATTAGTCCAGGGGAATGGAATGAAAAATAAATGGGGCCTATGATTTGCTAGTCACTGATTTTTCTTTTGATTCATAGAGCCCAAAACATTCAGAGACCTGCAGGTAACAGTGGCCCATATGTCAGAGCATGCCCCACCCCCCAAATTTTTGAGTACTGTGGTGCCAGCTATCAGATATTGCTTTGCATAGCTAGCTACATAAGTGCAATTCCTAGATGTGATGGTCTTTGCAGGTGATAGCTTCCATCCTCCTGGGGTTGCTAGCTTTCCAAATAAATCTTTATCCCAACAATGTATCCTGGAGACAATATGATTCCAAATGGCCAGAACAAACGTGAGTTTCTTGCACAAGTGGTAAAGTGGGAAAATCAGAAAAATGGAGCTTGAACCTCAGATCTCAGAACTTCTTAGCCAGCGATTTAGTCTGGGTTTTCGGGAAAGAACCCATCCTTCTTCCCATGATTCCCCAAATTCTTACAGTCAAGGGGTAGCACTGCCACAGGAGGGAGTTGGCTGTCTTCTGGTCCAGTTTGCCTTCAGAGAATGGAAAGCCCATCCCCTGTTAAAGAAATGGTTAAACATTGGTAAATCATGGGGAAGTAATGAGAAGAACAAAACAGGTTAAACAACAAAATCAACACAAAAGAAAGTTTCTTCACTGGTCCTTGACAGTTATGAGATTTCAAATTTTACAAAATAATCAATGAAACAAGTTTATTTATATCCAGAAACTTAGGCAGTACAAGAGGATATTTTGATATATGTAATATATAATGTACAATGTACTATATTTAAAAGATACTATATATGAATATAATACATATATAGTACATGATTATATATTATAAATAATATATAGTATTTTAAAATAGCATCTTTGTACTGCCTATGTTTATAAGTCCATATATATACATATACACACACACTACACACACACACACACAAAATACATATGCACATCACACACAATAGTCTTCCAGACAGTGAAATGATACTCAGGCCAAAATAACATAGAACAAGAGGGATAGAGGACGCAAACCCTCCCTGGCAGTCTCAGAAGAAGGCCAAATCAACCATGATGGCTGTGATTTGTTTTTATGCCCTCTGAAATTCTTCAGGGAAAACTATGTAACTATTCATATGACCATAGTATGTCCAAACCTCTCCAAGACTTGACTGACTTCAGCACAGCTTTTAACAATTTAAAGCATATTCTGGCATGACACCACTCTCTCTACAATGCCTGGGAAAGCTCACTGCGTTCAGTAGAAATTCCGCCACTCTCCAGCCTAAATTTGGTGATAGGAAGATTGGCTCTGGAGTTTTCTTTTACGGCAGTTACTTTGGAAATCTTACAATTATCAATGCTTTTTTCTGCCCTATGAGATATAAATTCTCCACCAAAATTATTGTATCAAGGACTTGAGAGAAAATCTCTTCTTGCTACATTATCAACACATTGAAAATGTAAACATTTCAGGAGTTAACTCTTGATCTCTTGACCAGTCTCTGCGGAGGCTAAAGTGCTAGCTTTGGCAAGGACCTTACTTCATCTTACGGCTTTGCTTCTGGTCGTTATGAGAGAGAAATCTATTCCTCTTACAAGTGAGCATGAGTTAAATTCACTAACCTCATGAACTCACACCACAGTGCCTCTCAGAGCTCACCCAGTCTTTAAACCTCCCCAGCTAGTCCGGTGAGGGATCTGAACTCAGGCCAAGCTTTCCCTTTTCCTTATAGCAGTCATACTACAGAATAAGATGCAACTTACTGGTTTAATCAGTTTCAGTCTTTGTGTATCTTTGTTATATTAAAAGAGCCTTCTCACCCTTGTGAACCCAATGTTAATCTGTTACCTTTTCTGGATCATCGCATTGGGACAAATGAAATCACATCTGGGCATCTGTGGGGCCTGTGAGTTCAGATCCAAGATAGAAGTTGTCCTGTCCCGGCCTGGCTTTCCTAAACTCCAGTTCCTTTTCCTTTCCAGATGTCCTTGGTCGTGCCCTCTGTATCGTTATTATCTCTACTAGTCCTCCATGCTCAGGAGCTTCAGGATTCTTTAAGCTCAAGTTCCTAGGATCTTCATGTGACCCAGACCTACAAGCTCTCCCAGACTCAGTGGTCCTGAGTGTGTGTGTGTGTGAGTGTGTGTGTGTGTGTGTGTGTGTGTAGGAAAAATTCTCAAAAGCCATTTAAAATAAATTACAAATGAATCTACATGGTGCTCACTAATTTATGTATTCTACTGGACTTCTGGAGAACCTTCCTCTGGGGTGTTCTTCTACTCAATGACGTTACAGTTTAATGAGGACATATGAAAGTGAACTTACTATCAAAAATATAAACTGTCTTTTGGAACAAAAAAGACAGAAAAGGTAGTGTTTGGGGGTGGGTTCCCAGGGCTGAAATTCCCATAAGACAGTTGGGCCATGTGGGAGAATATTTCTGTAAACCACCCACTGAAGACAATGGGGACAGCTGCCCTGGACTCAGGGGAGGCTGGGAATAGGAAGAGCCTATGATAGAAGAAGTGGGGGATGGCAGTTGAGGATCTGTGTGTGGGTGCATCTAAGAAGCTGTAGGTTCTCACCGTCGGCATGATCCAGCCAGCCTCTTGCTTGTTGATCCCAATGATGTACGGGACAGTGTTGAAATTCTTCTCAGCCAGAATCTCTTCTGGTGCCTTTGGCAGCACCACTCCATCAATCACTGTAGGCAGGAAAGGATAGCTCTGGGGAAGACAGAAATTTATTATCTGTGATTGCTCAGACCAGGCACGCCAGTGTCCACTCTCTCCCTGTCTGAGGGCTTAGCCTGCATGTAGACTACTGTGGTTGTGGCCACAGAAACTCAGGGTCCTGATTGGGTTAAGTCTATGAGTCATCACTGGCAGAACTGTGACTGGGAAGAGAGCAGTGGTGAGGTGCCGATGGTCAGGAATGGGTTAGGGACTTACTCAAGTCAAGTATTTATCATATGACATATATGTCAACTTATAGCAAATGTACATATACACATTAATTCAGACTAGTCATAGTCATGTCTGTAAAGTTTCGCTGACTCCTGAATTAGCAAATACTGAACCACTGGCCAAGAATGTTTCCAGAGTTCGGTCCCGGGAGCCTCTGGTCAGGACACTTTCATCACCCTTGCTTTATGCATCCATTTATATTGAAAGATGCATTAAACAGTACAGTTTATCTATGCATTAAGTATATAGAGATTTTTTTACACATAAAATACCACCTGGGAGAGGGTTGATATTTTCTGGACCCTAAGTAACATAATTTAAGGTTTTTTGGCTTCTGCCTGACAACTTTGCTGTACATTATGTTTTTAAAATTTTATCACTCACAAATCTACAAATTTATCTGCTTTCCCATCTTTCCACAGTTTTTTCACACACTGGAGGTATCACTTGACTACTCTCCAAAACTCCCCCACAAATAGGCAAATCTCCTCTCTGTCTTAGACACTGTGTTGTTGACTCATCAACACTGACTTCATGACCAAAGGCATCATAACTGAAACCTGGAGGAACCTCAGCTGTCCTATGCATCTTCGTACAGCTCCTCACAGCCGCTTGTGCTCGGCACTGGACAGCTCGTCGTCACTACACTCCAGAGTATCTTAAACAGAGAAGTCACTTAAAACAACAAATTATTGTTTTTCAAAAAATAGCACAAAATAGACCACAAATGCTCTTGTGAGCTGTGAGGGGGAAGGAGAACACAGGGCTTTATCTTTGCCCTCAGGTGGGAGCCCGAGTGTTTCCTACTCTGCATGTGCTGCACACCTGACCACAGCAGTGTCATAAGTTCTGATTTAGGGTTACACACACATTTTAGTAAATGAGCTAATTTCCAAATACAGAATCCATGATTAAGGACATGGATTATATCCATCTATGTCTATGTAAACTTCAACTATATATATATATTATTTTAATTAAAAGAAGCATTTCATTACAACAGCATTAACTTATTCAATAACATTTTTCTGAGCTAGGGTGAAAACTCTTTCAAAATTGGCTGCACATTTCTAGGTTTACAGATGAATTATTACACTTATATAATCTTTAACTCATTATAAACTCTATAAGACATAAAATTAAATGAGGTTCCAACGTTTAAAAAAGATCTCCACTTCGTTGTCAAAACACACAGTTTCATACAGAAAAATTCATTCTTAATGCAACCAACACTTAGAGTTTTCACATGCATTTCTAATCTCTATATACATGACTATCACTAGTCACAGTCCCCCACCTTCTGAGCTCCTCGGCATCTGAGCATGAATA